GTAATATATAAAAAATTTTTTAAATATAAAATTCCTTGTTTGATCGAATCCCCCATTCGAAAGCACAATTTAAAATAGAAATTTGTTTCTCTGGAATCCCTAATTCTCCAGATATTCCAGAAAACAATGTCCTCAACCCTCAATTTTGAAAGCTTCCTTTCCAACCCCTTCAATATAAACGATTATCAATTTAAAAAAAATAGATACGTGTCAAATATTTCCCCTTTCAAACGAACTATCCCCCACATAAGTTTCGTCAAAAGTACAAGCCTGAAGTAATAGTAATTTGTCAAAAGAACCTCAATGTACAAAACGCCTTACAAGCTCGTCCAAACTGTACAACCTTTCGTGAGATGAACACACTGTACCGTGAAAATCATCCCCGAAGAATGTTCACCGGAAGCTCTCTTAAAAATATCCACGGTGAACCTGTACGATAGTTCACCGTGGAACAATTAAAGTTCACGGAGTCGACGAGGAGCCAAGAAGACGTGTTGCCGTCAGACCAGAAATCCGGGATACGGAATTAGCCACGGACGCCTTGGAAATCGTGCTTAAACCTCGTGTACACACCGTGATACATCTACGATGAGGACATCTTAAGCTCCCGTGGCAAACGTTTCCCTTAAACTTGTCACGGATCATCACGAAGCCGGCTCCTCCTCCTCTTCGTCTTTTATTTCGTCAATTATAGAGAGAGAGAGAGAGAGAGGGAGCATGGGGAGGAATTCTTCGAAACTAATTGCTTTTTCCACAACACCAAAAGCCATCGCGTCACGAATTCTTCAACGTTTTATTAGAAACTCGCCACCAGAGAGAGATTTCGCAAATTGACGAGGAGATCTCGAGTGGAAAATTTTCACGTTCGACGCGATTCACGAGGCAGATAATGGCGGGTGTACAACGGACGCGTAATGAAATTACACGATACCGAGAATGGACAATTTACGGCGGCACTTTCTAACGAGTCTAATCAATTGTACGCGATAAACTGCCTTTTTCGTGGTTTTTCTGGACAGTTTTCTTTCGTTTTAATTATTACGCGTTTATTCACCCTTGGCTGTCAAGTGTTATTACGTTATAGTGTAATCGGAGTTTTATTTAAAAAGAATGAAAATAGATCGATCATCGAAATAATTTCCATTACTGTTGATCGCTAGATTGCAGATTGTTATGCAAATTCGTATCTTTATGAATATAATTAAAAAAATAGATTTGTTTTATTCGCTAAATATTATTATTGAATAATACAATTAACGGGCTATGCCCTTTTTTACAAACTTACACAGCTAGTGCAGACACATTTGTTAGGATCGCGCAATGTTCGATGCTTAAGTGCCGAACCGGTACGCGAGTTTAATCACACCTTCATTTATTCAGTGTGAAATGCTAAGAACTATTTTAATTTGCAACAGAGTGATACTTGAGTTGATATCGCGACGAGACTATCAAAATACTAATTTCTGTAAGACCAACTGCTAAGACTCCCAAAAAAGACGCGCTTCTGCTTCGTTTCCTTGGTTTTATCGGCTCAGCCAGTTGCCGATTGGTGGCCGATTTCTTCTAGGGGGTGTAGGTGCTGACTCTTCATTCAGTTCCATCCAAGGGAGAGGGATTGTTGCTTAACATGAGAAAACCCTCTTTTTTGGGGTTTTCCCAGGGGTTGCCGCGTGACTTTCCACCGCGCACGTGACCTCTTCACGGGGGTACGATACGCGCGAGAGGACCGGTACCTCGTTCTGGCGACCAAGTGCAACTGAATAAGTTTCGAAACGAGGGTTCGTCGCGATTTCTTGCGAGGCAACAACATTGTATAATATTAAACTACGTTTTACAGCCATTTTAAGGACTTGTCGAAGATACCTTTTGAGGGTGGCTAGTGAAACATTAAAAAGGTCTACTTCGTTCATAAGGGAATTGTATAAAATAGAAATGCGATTAACTGGGTCGGATATACTATATTTCGATTTGTGCGTTGGAATGTGAAAAATCCAGATGGTGCGTAGAAATTTACAGATCCCAATAATGATATACAATCAGTATTATTGTTTATCAGTTTATGCAGAAAGGTAATGTCGAGAGTTATTCTACGATTTTTTAGTGTGTCCAAACGAAGCTCTTCCAACAAGGGTGCATAATTATGATCGTAAAATCTTAAAAATTATAACGAATGTAACTATATATTAGGTTTATTTATATGCTTTTGCTTATCACGTGCATTCTGTGTTTTTGTGCATTCAAATTTTCCACAAATGCAGCAATGATGACCTTTTGCCATTTTTCTGGCAGCTTGAGAATACCATTACAATACAAATTCGGTGGTTTTGAATTAACACGTTAAGCGCGGCGTCAGTCCGTGGTGACTGACAGTGAACTTTTCGTTTGGGTGGCGTCGGTCCGTGGGACCGGAAGTGTCATGTTTAAAAAATAAATGTTATGCACTTCTCCTTCTTTTTTTTTTGCAATTTATGAACACTTCTTCTATCTATGCGTGTGCGCGCATTTGTTATCTTCTGTTTATACTCTATAACCGAACAGCTCGCGAAGTGATCGCCGCTGTGTGCCGCCTGAACGGGAAGCAGAGCGAAATCGGCTCCGCGCTCAACGTGTTAATTACGTGAATCCAGTCGGAAAAAATTCATTTCTGCACCTAATATATACTAAAAACTAGGTTAACGAATGTTGTTTCTGTTTCAGAATGGTGAAGATGCTACCCTGTGAACGGTGGTGAAACGTGGTAATCTAGTGCAAAAATGGCTTTGACCGTCGTACCCTCGACCCGCGTTTTCAACGGAAACGGTAAGTTCCAACGAAAGATCGTAAGTTATGTGACGATTGAGCAATCAATCTCTACGCCGTTCGTTCCTATTTATAGTAGTGGAAATATCTATTACATCACTCTCAAAGTTACGTGTTACGTGCAATTTTCATAGCAGTATGATCGATACAATGCTTCTCGTTCAACTTATTTTGGGCCAAGATTTGAAACTGTCTAAGAGGTGAAAACAGCCCTTGAAATAAATTCTGAGTTCTCGTAATATCATAAATATTTACAAAAATATACAAAATATGGAAAAAAAGTTGCATTCAAAATTGTGTGGTTTTTCATGTCTCACATTGTGATGATAAATAATTTTCGAGCGTTTCATTATCGAAATAAAAAATGGTTTCGTTATTAAAATCACTCGAACTACATTTTGCAAATTTTTTTTAATTTTCTGGTTGTCTAATTTTCTTCATTAGCCATCTTGCACTATTTATATAATTTTCCGGAGTCAAACTGCCGAATTTAGTCGTCGCTATATTGAATTACTGATTTTACTGAAAAACTTTATTAAAAAATCACACGATAATATTTCTCCTAGTACTAATAATAAGAAGAATTATAAGCGATAACCTTGCTTAATATTCGAGCGCTGCAATAAACATTTCCACTACTCTATTTGTCATACTGCGAAGAACAACAACTGTGATAAAGAAAAGAAAAAATGAACCAATAAAAAACACACACTTCCTCGAAAATCAGAAGAAAAATAACGTTTATTTATTACAGCTAATTACATATACGAAAACACGAGAAAATAATTTTCTGTTTACTATAACTCGACAGTAGCTGTTTATACAATCGCAACATTAACATACGGAAATACACAAAATACACGAGAGCTCCGTTAAAATCTCTCGAGAAACGTAAACAGCAAGGCTGATCCATAAATAAATGTGCCATAATACAGTCAATAACGTAATAACGTTACTCTCCTGTATTTACACATATTTTCGTACGTTACAATAGCGCAAACATCCTCCGTGCAATACTAACTCAGATTCAACGATCAAACTCTCGGTCACTTCGTTATTCCCTGAAAAATTCAATTCCAACTGTAAAAAAAACGAAAAAAAAGAAAAAAACAGTTTATCTATCGCGTGCGGTAGATTTATGAGATAAAACAGCGCCGTTATTTCCAGCTCATCGTTGTAAATAAATATAATAAAACGAGGTGTCCAGGACACGGTCGCGCGCGTACTGTTTCTCCGAGCGGAAAAACAAATTTCCAAGCAAACGATCCGGCTAACGAAGCGGCTGGATCCGTTCTAAATTAAAATTTCACGGAAACCCCTGCAACCTGAACCTCTCCTCGTTGTTGACACAACTACGGAACGACCGTGATTATTGGCTACCGAATACGATCCCGGTTATACGTCGTTCAAAATGAGAGTAACCTCGCTCTCGGACCGATTCTCGTCCGTTCTGCGCATAGACAGAGGGCGTAGCAGAGGGTAAGGTGGAGTGAAACGTAGACGGTTAAGTGGGGGTTTGGACGTTCTAGTGTAACTGCAGTAATTATCACAGAAAACTGTCTACAGTGGGTGAAGAAATTATTAGAGCCACGATACGAAAAATATGTTCTTTGTTTTTGTGTAGAAATGAAATTAGAGTATCGAGGTTTTCACGCTGGATTATTTTTAATCGACGATTGTTCACTGAAGATGCACAAACAGTTAAAGTTAGGTTATGTTGTTATAAAAAATACAGTTAAGAAGTGACGATAAAGTGAGTATTTGGTTAGGGTTACCTTTTGCTGCAGTTACAGGCTTGATTCTTTTTTCGATACGTTTCAAGTAATTTACTGTGTGTTATAAGTAGTAAAAACATTGGAATAAAAATTGAAATGCTCGAGATCTGTGAAGCAACAGAACTGTAACACGTGGTTCTCAAGTGGCGATTTGCAGTACTAATGCAAAATGACGTCCATATGATAGATAATATTGCCTAAAGTGTGCAATTTGTAAACATCGACGCTTTGTAAAAAAAATAATAAGAATTCGGTGTAACTAGGTTTTCGTCTGAAAATTAATCGTTGTAATGTAAAACCGTGAATTTCTTACAGGTGGCTCTAATAATTTGATCGCCTACTGTGTACATATGTACGTTCGAATCTACGTGAAATGGAAAAATGATCGACTATAAAAACAGTCATAAAGGAACTTCGGTAACCCGAAAATTCCGATTTTTTTGAAATTTTGCAAGTTTGTAGGAGAACTCAAAAGAAGTATCCAGCAATTTCTTTTTTTGCCCCTTTTCGGTTCTTCGGGGTGAAAACAGGGAGAATCAAGATGAGTGTTAGCTTATTTTTTTGTATATCTTTAGCACTATAGTAGATATAAGAAAGTGTTTATAATAGAGATTTAGTGGCTTTTTATGCCTTATGAGACGATGCTGTTAAATTAATAAAAATTGTTTATTTAACCCTTTGACAGTCTAATAAATTTTTGAATTACGGTAACAAATTTTAGATTTTAGGCGTACCTTTTCAATAGTTATGCCGTGTGTGATCATTTTTAAAACACGGGATACAAAACCCTACGTCATAGTTATGACAATAATATCTCGTCCCTTTCTAACTTTCTTCCTGAGAGTCTCTCTTGAGTTAAACTGTTCGTTATTTCACGCTCTGCCCGAGTCTCATACGGGATAGACTGTCGAAGGGTTAAATAAAAAATCTTCTACTTATTGTGAAAACTTTCGAATTTTCTGCAAATAAATATGCTAAATATGTTAAACTTCTCAAACAATGTAACATTTAAATAATTTTAATCGATACGTGCTTTTTGTAAGGTCATCATTGCACTCTAAACGATGCGTTATCAGTTATCAACTATGTGTGCTTTTCTTAATTTAATAGCATCGTCTTATGAGGCATAAAAAGCCACTAAATCTCCATTATAAACATTTTCCTATATCTACTATAGTTCTAAAGATATACAAAAAAATAAGCTAACGCTTACCTTCTTTCAACGACTCTTTTCACCCCGCAGAACCGAAAATGTGCCAAAAAAATTGAGGTCCTCTACAAACTTGCAAAGTTTAAAAAAAAAAAATTGAGGTCCTCCACAAACCT